TCTGTTTGTATCTCTAGTCCCTTGAGTTCAGAAAAATGAGCTGGTCCCACGGCACGTAAACACCCATACAGACACCCATGAGCTGGGCCCACAGCATGCAGACACCCATGAGCTGGGCCCATGGCACACAGACACCCATGAGCTGGGCACACAGACACTCATGAGCTGGGCCCACAGCATGCAGACACCCATGAGCTGGGCCCACAGCATGCAGACACCCATGAGCTGGGCCCACAGCATGCAGACACCCATGAGCTGGGCCCATGGCACACAGACACCCATGAGCTGGGCACACAGACACTCATGAGCTGGGCACATGGCACGCAGACACCCATGAGCTGGGCACACAGACACTCATGAGCTGGGCACACAGACACTCATGAGCTGGGCACACAGACACTCATGAGCTGGGCACACAGACACTCATGAGCTGGGCACACAGACACTCATGAGCTGGGCACACAGACACTCATGAGCTGGGCACGCAGACACCCATGAGCTGGGCACACAGACACTCATGAGCTGGGCACACAGACACTCATGAGCTGGGCACACAGACACTCATGAGCTGGGCACACAGACACTCATGAGCTGGGCACACAGACACTCATGAGATGGGCACACAGACACTCATGAGCTGGGCACACAGACACTCATGAGCTGGGCACACGGCACGCAGACACCCATGAGCTGGGCACACAGACACTCATGAGCTGGGCACACAGACACTCATGAGATGGGCACACGGCACGCAGACACCCATGAGCTGGGCACACAGACACTCATGAGCTGGGCACACAGACACTCATGAGATGGGCACACGGCACGCAGACATCCATGAGCCGGGCACACAGCACGCAGAGTCCTAGCAGATTTAATGTAGATTTTGTTCCTTGCCTTCTCATCATTTTATGTCTCAGTTTGTTTTCCCGGATATTAATGTTTTGAAATGAATTTAGGCTTATCTTTTGAACATGATTTATTCGTTTTTAATATTTGCAAAATTTTTTATATATTCTTCTTTCTTGCATTACATCCCAACCACAGCTCCCCACCTCAAGTCCTCCTCTTCCCCCACATCCACTCCCCTTCTATTTCCCTTCAGAAAAGAGCAGGCCTCCCAGGGATATCAACCAAACACAGCATAACAAGTTACAATAAGACAAGGTACCAATTCTCACATCCAGGCTGGATGAGGCAACCCATTAGGAGGAAGAGGGTCCCAAGATGAAAAGAGTCAGAGACACCCCCACTCCCACTGTTAGGAGCCCCACAAGAACACCAAGGTGCATAGCCATAACATATATGCAAAAAACCTAGTATTTGCAAAATTTTAACTTTCTTATTTCACAAGGAAGTGGAAGATGCACAGTACAGTATGTTGTCAACTGCACAGTCCACCACAGCGGTTGTAAGTGGATCTTGTTTCCAGCGTGGCTTGCCTCAGTTCTTGCTGCTCTCTTAATAAATAAGCTTGATTTCCAAATTTCTGGACATTTGTGACTGATTAAAAGAAACAACTATACAGCCAATAGACAGAACTTTTAATGTTTCCGTGGATTTTGGTTGTGTAGCCTACATGTGGTTTGTTTTTGTGTGTTTTTTATCTTGTCTGTATCTGTAACATTATTATCAAAATATAAATTTTAAGTACAAGGATAGATGAGGAATCATCTAGTAATTCTCTGATTTAAAAGAAACAGAATGCATTGGATTTGGAATAGAAATTCCCGACTAAGAGCACTGTTAATACCTCTAGGCCTGCCTCTCACTTAGCTGATCTGCACTGAGCGGCACTGAGGTGGTCTTGGCCTTTAGCTCGGGACTGTAAGACACTGTGGCTGTTCCAAGCCAGCATCTTCACACAGTGATGTTCTGAAGGCAGGAAAGGAGCAGAGATCCTGAGGAGGGTCTTCCCTGTCAATACCCTTTCTCCTCCTTTCTGAGAACACTCACTGACAGACTTGACCTCTCAGGCCTCAGCTGGGCTACGGGGCTCTCCTGGAGTCACTGAGCAGTGCTCACACAGGGGTCTTCCCTGCAGTGGTGGGTGTATCCTAGCCCCTCTCAGAAGCCGCAGTTACGTTATTGGGGAAAGAGATACTTGCTCTCAGGAAGACAATTAATAGTTTCTGCTGCTGCTGTTGAACTCTGGGTATCACGACAAAGCAATGTACACATGTGTGGGGAATGCCACAGGGAAGCCTACTTGTATTCACAATTAATATCTAATTCATACAGTATAAGGAAACTCCATACGAACAGATATGTTATGGAATTATAACTTCGATGAGTGTCAGAAAGGTGTGCCAGGGCTATGGGGCCAAAGAATTAGCCTGGTCTGGTAATCCCCAGAACACTAATGATGAAGCTAATATGCGTAACATTTCAGGGTTAGGTGGCAGGGGGAGTGGGGCTATCCCAAGTAGAGCACACACACTGTTTCTCTATTGCTTGGCAGGCATGTGAGTACTCTGTTGCTCACTCAGCTGAGTTTCCTAGTGTCACCCCGGCACCCTTTCTGACTTCCAGTTCACCGGATCTTTGTTTTCACACTCAAACATTTGTAAATGCTCGTGTAAGCTGTTCCTGTGATTTGCCTGTGGATGCAGTGTGCCCACCAGAAGTTCACAGACTGGTGCCTTGATCCCCAGTATGATGTATTCGGGTGCTGGACCTTTAAGAGATGGAGCCTGGTGCAAGATAATTAGGTCACATGGTCGCAGTGAGCCACAAGAGAGGTGCTAAATAGTGCGGAAATATCATCTCACCTGTATGCAGTCGAGTGCCTAACACTTTGGAAAATGAAAAGGGGTGAATGCATGTTGGAAAGCAGCAATAGCATCAAACTCCTTCCCTTGGTGATTGCCGAAGGAACCGACTTTAGGAATAGAGTGGGTGTCTTGGGAACTGCACGGTTTTATCCATTTTGTGTCCTGCGTTGTTCTTTTTTGTATTTTGGTACCTAGTATAGCTACTACTAGAACTAAGCCTGCAAGGAATGTGCTTGCAATGGTGGCTGCACACCCTGACCTCCTTCTGCTGCCCATCTGTATATTATGTGTTCTTTGTTTCTTTTGCTTGTTCCCATCCCTATTCTACTCATGTTCCCAAAGAGCAGTCATGACACATGGACTGTATCTCTGGTTATGTGAGTGTGTAAAATCTCATAGGAACTTGAATGAACAGATGTTGTAGGACCAGTTTCCACTAACCCCAAATCTGACCATATTAATTTTATGATTATGTTTTAATTATTAACAATGTATTTTAATGTTTAATACTATATCTGAGAATTATGAAAATGTTTTCTACTTTTTATTTGATGCCTGGGGGATTAATTGGTTTGTGAAAATGTTTTATGTGCATTTTATGGGTATATATTACACATTGACCAGCTGTCTCAGGACAAGGTAAGATTCTTGGAAAGTTTTTTGACATAATATTTCATATCTCAAAATGTATGTTTTATCAAGATCTTTATCATTAGTTTCCCTTGAGAGACATCTGAATGCATATACCAGGTATATTTCAATGCTGTGGCTACAAAGATTAATAAGGCCTAACTGAGGTCTAGGGAGGAAGTGGGTAAGGATGCCAGTAGAGTAACACACAAGAGGCTATAGTTGTCATCAGTGATGGTGTAACCGTGAGGCATGGCTTCCCAGAATCCTGAATATCAACAAGTGACATGAATTTGCCTTGGGAATGGGAGGGCATAGAAAGAAAGGACAGAGATTAGGGCTAGGTGTGGGAAGGAAGTTGGGTCTACATTCTAGACGTGGTTGCTGAACTCTGTGATTGGCTGTACTAGGGGAGAGCTAAGGGGCAGAGTGCTTGCCTAGCACGTGTGAGGCCCTAGATTCAATTCATAGCACCATATAGAGAAACCCCCCACAAAACCAGGTCTGTGGTTACACACACACACACACACACACACACACACACACACACACATTTATGTCTGTGTGTATATAACCATGAATGCTTATATATAATATGTATATGAAAATTTGTTGATTTTGTTTAGAAATAAGTGAAATCTGAGAGTACTTGAGAAAATTTTTGTTACCAAAGAAGCCCCTTGTTTTCCCCTTTCTTCTTTGATGAGCTCTCTTGAAGCAAGTTAAGTGAGGCAAACTCCTCCTTCCAAAACCACTTCGGTACTGTGGCGTGATTTCAAAGAGTTCCCCTTTCCCAGTTAGTTAACTGCGTTTCCACAGTGGGGACAAATCTTCTCTGTCAATGTAGTATCCCACAGGCCTCCTGCTGTTTGCCTCTTGTATCTTGCCGGGGCAGCTGTGAAGGTATATACCGTTGATTGCTAATGTGTGATATAAACCCGACTGAGCATGCCCACTAATTGGTTTGAGAGCTAGATATAGACAATGCTGTCTTATAGGGCCTGTGTGGATAGGCCCAGTCCCGGGGTTAATTCTGCTTGACAGCGCAGCGCCGGCTTCTCGGGAGTAATTACCAACAGCAGTTTCCCACAGCCAGACCAGCGGCTTCAAAGGCTTCTGGATTTACAGCCAGAGTTAACCTGTATCTGAAACCTAAGGTTCCCACAAGGAACCGTTTCTTCTTCCTCCTTATTAAGGGTTTGGGGTTACTGAGTTCATTTGCTCTCTGCTAAGGACCTACTTCATGTTAAGGAATTGAAAATCTTTAATAATAGAGTAAAAGGCATAATTATGTGTCGGACTTTTTTGTATCACTCCATATTACTATTGAAGAAAGATCATCTATGAAGAAAGGTTGGATATTTTGAAAAATAAAATCCCGTCTCTGAAAAGCTGACTTTGAAAGATATTTTTTCCTGCTATGTAATCTGAATTAATATATGCATTCAATTGAATGGTTGACATAAATATAGCGTTACACTTAAGGATATGATTTTATTTCTTGATCGTTATATAAAAATCTATAATTACTGCACCTCCCCACCTCAGACCTTTCACAATTTTTATATTAATTTTGTTTGTTTGTTTGTTTTTCAGGTCAGAAACCAAATATGACTCTGGTTCAGGTATGTTTACGTTAATAATGTTATTCTGAGTGATTTTATTTTTTACATTATTCTCTGAAAAGTGATTCAATACATCAAGAACCATTTTGATTTTAAACGACTGACAATCTCCTTTCAAAATACGAGCCCCACCTCAAAGCAGGGCTATGGGCTGCTTCACGTCATGATTGACAAGTTCACTTCAGGCTCGTTCACAGTTTGGAACTAAGCAGTAAATGCCGTGCATCTTCCGAGGGCCCATGCTCCCCGCTCACAGCAGTGACGTGCATGAGATGCACTTTGTAGATGCACAGAGCATCTGAGATAGTTGAAGAGTCTCTGCAAATGATTGGGGGGCGTGGATACACAGAGATGGGAACTCGTCTGTGACGTAGGCTGCCTCTATGGGGGTGCTGATGGAAGTTAAAACCGTCTTAAGCTATTGTTTTCTATCCATTGAGACAGAACTTGCCACTTACTGCAGCGTCACCGGTCCCATGAGTGTTTTCTTGTCATCAAGCATGGATGTAGTTACATCGTCCTTGGGATTGGCTGTTATCTTTTACCTCTTGCTGAGATCTGGGTACTGCAGAGCACCTGGTATTAAATTAAAGCACAAAAATTGTCTCATTTTGGTTACCAAGGAATTATGCCCTTTGATGGATTGTTAATGTATTAACATTAGTTTTCAGTCCTAAGAGATAATAATTTGCAGGAAAAATGACATAACTTGTTGGTCGGCAGAGTGAAACTCACTGTGACTCGTGAGTTCCGCTGCATCTTCATCTAAAGTGTGCTTGCTTGTTGAGCACGGGGAATCCAGTGGCTGTGAGTTCCTTTGACAAGAACCACAGAGCTAGCCTGCCTTTCTTTCTTGTGAGCCTGGTTGTCCTTGTGGGCACAGCTTCATGAGCTTCTCTGGTTTGGAGGGACCCTCACCTCAGCTAATGGAGTCTGCAGATTTGACCTAACAGATTCACCTAATTAAAAACCAGGATACTGCCTCTCTGCCCAGTCAGAGCTCTGGGCTTCTGATCATGTGTGCCACTAATGTTACAGGTAAATATATAACAGTATGGGGACTAACACTGAGATGTCATAGAAACAACTACTTGACTCTTTTATGACTCAATCAGGGTGAAAACATTTTAATAGTTGAAATCTCTAAGTATAAAAATAAATAAATTGATGAAGTATAAATTCTTTACACAAAAGCTACATGCTTTAATAATCCTGTCAGTCAATCACCAAGTCACAAGATAATTCCTGTTACTTATTGATTATATAATTTAGTTCTCTAAAAAAACAAAAACAAAAACAAAACAAAACCCAGGCAAGCTGGTGTTAAAAGTATAAGACCTGGAATGTGGTTTTTAAAAATGAAAAAGTCCACTAGCTTCGTTTTGAAGGTGAAAGCTGGGAATAGTGCACAAAACTGAAATATTAGGCTGCCATTGTCAAAGTCAAATAATTTATGTTAAGATTTTTAATCCAAATTCAAGTGTGCTGCTCAGCCCATGCACAGAAGGCTAGTGTGTGCCGCGGAATAGCTCTAGCATCTGCAGAGGCTCACGTTTCCCTCTGCTGACCTCGGGTCTCTGGCTACAGCCACAGCCACAGCTCCTTTCTTCAGTTTCTGAAAACTACAGTTAGAGATGCTTAAGATCTTGTGGGGAATATGAATTAAAAGTTTATTTGTTCTTTGATTTTGCATCCAACTATGAAGTAAATTTAGATGTTTTCAAATTAAGAAGTAAGTAATTTCCCCTCTAAGCTCACCACTGATGAGGAATCAGACAAAGGAAACCTGGCGTTAATTCGGTGGTATTTTGTATCATGCAAATTTTATCATGAATTATATCATGAATAAGATAACATATTGGAACAATTAAATGTATGACTTGAATAGGTTCAGATTCTTTGTTGTTCATCAAATACTAAAGTTGTCTAATGTTGTGCCGTTTGACAAACTAAGCTCTTTAGCTGAGGAATGGTGCCACTCTTACCAAAGAAAAGTAAACATTAAATAAGATGATCAATAGCTAGCCATAGAGAAATGGATATTAAAGTATATGGACATGTATGCAAAGATATTTTACAAATATATGTATACATGCATACAATTATTTGTTAAGGAAAGTATCCGGTTTTTGAATTGAGCTTACTGCACATCTGTCATTTGTATAGAGAGTTTCTGGCTGTTCAGTAAGATTTAGGAGAAAGGAAGGTTTTCATTGCCATCACATAGTTCAAAAAAATCAGTTATTGAGTACACATCAAATGAGCAATCAAAAAAAATGTTTTGCTTATATCTTTTTTTTATAAAAAACAAAGCCTACAGATAGCCTTCTGCTAATTTTTAAATGTGGTGTGTGGTTGTGTGTGTGTGTGTGTGTGTATGAGTGTGTATGAGTGTCTTTGTCTGTGTAGGGCAGGGGATAATTTTTACTTGATTAAAGGCATGCACCACTATGTCTAACCTTATTTCTCTGACTGAGAGCTTGCCAAGTAAGCTAGATGGATGTCCAACAGTTTCAAGGACCCTATTCTCTGTGTCTAGGCTGCTGTGATGTGGTTACAAGCATTTACAATCATGTGCCACCTTGCCTAGCTTTTTTTGTTTTAATATGTGGGTTCTGGAGATCAAACTCAAGTCTTCATGTTTGTAAGGCAAGAACTTTACTGAACAATCTTCTTAGCTTCATAAATTAATTTTTAAAATTAAGAATTTATTTAGGTATATGTGTGTGTGCATGAGTTTGTACACCATATGTGTGCAGTACCTGTAGAGGCCAGAAGAGGGTGTTGGGTCTCCACAAACTTGAGTTACAGGCAGTTGAGAGCTGCTGTGTAGGTGCTGGGAACCAAACTTGGGTCCTTTGCAAGAGTAGTAAATTCTCTTGACCACTATGCCATTTTTCTAGCCCCCCAAATTTTTTATACTGAACATTTAATCATACTTAAAAGTAGGGGGTATAGTATTCCTCAAAGGGTACCGCATAACTATCATCTAAATTTTACTATTATTAATTTGCCATTAATTTTGCTTGTATCATCATAATGTTTTAAGGGACAGTACATTTTATGTGATATTCAAAAAAATGCAAATTGTTTTTTCCTACTGAGTGGAGGGCAAGTAAGTTTTCAAGATTTTTGCCTGCAGTAGAAGTGTGAGCCACACATGGGTTATCAGTCAGAGGGTTGCATCTCTGAGTGTTCATGCTCAGGTAGCAACTGAAATTCTTCTTCCGGTAAATCATCTAAAGAGGGAACCCTGCAGCCGGAGCAGGGGCGCTGAGTTCATCCTAATCTGAGAATCACAGAAACGTCCTGTCTTCATGATGAGTCTGGATGAGATTTGAGCTCCTGTTTCTCTTTGTGACTTCTACTTACTGAGTTTTACACTGATTTAAAAATGTGTTCTGTTGATTTATGACTCACTGACCTGAAGTTTGGCTTTGCTGGTTGAGAAGAATGAGCTGGCCTCCTTTCTAAAGAAACTTGAAAGTTTTTTATGTTAACACGAGTTCCTCGTTGCTGTCTCTGGCCCCAGAACTTGCTGACTTGGAGATCTTACTAAAGAGAGTCAAACAGACTTCCTTTTATGTTCAGAAGAAGCAAGAAGCTGTGCTTGTCATCTCACCACCCAAGCAGGGATGTAAGTTGATTCTGGAGGAAGCCGAGCATTGAGTTTACTGCAGTGATCAAACACGACTGTCTACCAGGTCTCAGGAGAAACACGCTATGAAAGGCGGGGGACTGTGGAGCGCATTGCACGATAGGCTTTATAAACAGAGCCCTGGAGGTCAGTGCGTGGATGCAAAGCAATTAAATAAAGAACTCTGGCTTTGCTCTCTGTCGTCTGGATGGGGAGGATCAGAAACCCACGTGGACAGAGCTGAAGTGTGAGCTTTGCTGGAGTAAAGCTTGGCACCTCTGGAAAATGCGTTCACTCCTTCAGCCCACATGCCAAAAGGCTCCTAGAGCATCAGAAATAAAATGGGAAGCAGGCTGTTCTGAATACAGCCCTTAGCAGACATGCCAGGGAATCGGGCGGAGAGAAACTAGGGTGAGGGGTTGAAAAGACCCAGGTCTTCAGTGAGATTGTGGGACTTATGTGCCATCCAAGCCCTTGCAAAATAACTGCAAAAACACATGGGTTTTATTCTTCTCTAAATTCCAGGGGCAATGCAAAGATGTAGTTTGAATTTACTAATCAGCAATGGGGTGTTGCTATTTCCTATCTAAATTCTGGTGGCTACAAATGAACAACTATCTGCTGAAGCCCACCTACAGCCTCATGCTGCAGCTGGACATCTCAGGCAATGTTTGGGTGAAAAGCGAAGTGCCAAGGCAAAAGGTAGAGTGTCAAGGCCCATAACCATTCCAAACAAAGTTTTCTCCAGAAAGCGAATAAGCTCATGTTTAGTGCTTGCTGCTCCTGCACTTCTTGGATTTAATAGCTATACAAACAATAGCTGTAAGGAAATGGGCTCAGAGAACACGGCGTCTCGGAGGCCTAAGATTTCATGAAAGCAAATGATGGAGGATTAAGAAACCTAATGAGCATGGTTTAGTGTGTGGAGAGCAGGAGCAGGCAGCGCTCTGTTAACTAAAGACTCAGTGTGGGAGGCGAGGAGGTCTTAAGCGACACGATAATCAAAGGCACGAAAGAATATAATTATCCCGAAGGGTGGAAAAAAATGCAAGGAACAAAAAGCAGCTAGTGTCACTTTTATGATCTATAGTTAAAAGGAATCTCCGCACTAGGGCGAGGAAATCAAAGAATAGAATCGGTTGATGCCCAAAGGCACCGAATGCTGAGGGGGTTGTTACGAGAGGCAGTAAGCTAAAGGAGATGGAGAGCTTGGACAGAGCAGAACTGGAGTTTTAAACTTGCAAGCAAATTAAGCAATTTCCCCTTCTCCAGAGATGTTAATAAGGAAAATATTTTCCATTCTCGTATGATTACATTGACAATACATTTTAGCTTTACAATTTTGTGATTTAAATTTCTTATT